TCAAGTTCAAGGGGAAAGGATAGATTATTCAAAACATGGTGTTAGGTCAAGTAAGTGTCATCTAAAAAGACAAATTTGTGTTCATATCTCATATCTTTCATTGAAATAAATTTCAACTAGATCAAAGATTTTTATGTGAAAAAAAAGAACAAACCATAAAAGTACTACAAGAAACCAAGTGAGAATTCTTTTTTTAAAGATTTATCTGTTTTTATTTTAGAGAGAGAGAGTAAGTGTGTGAACGGGGGGTGGGGGTGGGGGCAGAGGGGCAGGGAGAGAGAGGATCCTCAAGCAGACTCCCTGCTGAGCGGGGAGCCCAAGTAGGGCTCAATCCCAGGACCCTGATCATGACACCTGAGCCAGAATCAAGAGTCGCACACTCAACTGACTGAGCCACCCAAGTGCCCTAAGAAACCACGTGAGAATTCTTATGTTACCTCAGAACAAGGAGTATCTTTCTAATTGTGACATAAAGCTAAAATCATAAAAAAGATCGTTAGGTCTGACAAATTAAAATTATTTTCATGCCAAAACCGTTACAAGCAGTCAATTGGCAAAGAATGCACTAGAAAAAATATTTATAACACCTATAACAAAAAAAGGTTAACTTCTCAAATGTATAACGTATTCTTACAAATCAGTAAAAAGGACAAAGGATACAGACAATTCAACAGAAAAGGAACTACAAATGACCATTAAAAAGATGCTCAACCCTAGTCACAATAAGAGAAAGGCAATTTTTCACCTATTGATCTGCAAAGATCAAAAGCTTTGATAACACTGCGTTGGTGAGAGTATAACGCAACAACACTCTTTCCATCACCAGCACAACCTCTGAGGAGGGCAATTAGAAACCCCACTCACAAATGCACGGACCTTTCATCTAGCAACGTCATTTCTAGGAATTTGCCCTTCAGACATATTCACACATTTACGAAATGATTTATGTAAAAGGTTATTCATCTCAATATTGTGTGAAATAGCAGAAGACTGTAAACAACCCAAATGTCCACCAATAGAGGGCCGTCTAAATAAATTATGGTCAACTAAAGGAATTCCATGAGGCCTAAGAGAAAAATGATGCTTACATATTTTAATATGAACTCATCTTCAGGATATCTTGTTGTTATGTACAGAAACAACAAATTCACAATCCTGGTTGGTTGTGGTGGAAGAACCAGGAAGCTGAGAGGAGTAGGGAGAAGACTTCATTGTTTATTCATCTGTACATGGTCCAAATATTGAACCATGTGAATATACTTCCTATACAAAAATGTAGTAAAAAAAAAAAAGCCCTATTATTTGTCATATTTTATAGATAAATAAACCTCTCAAAGGACTGAGGAGCCAACAGAAGTAATGAAATGCGTTTATATACTCTAATTCTAAGGAATGAAGGATCAATATGAAAATTCAACTTTTGTTTTAGTACCTAGTGTTCCAGAACTTCAAGAAAAATATACAAAATCTTCTGTAACTAAATTATTTAAAAATATTTTAATATCTAATAGCATTAGGAAATAAAAGTTAATAATTTTAAATGAGAAGCTTCAGATGACTCAAAAATTTTGAAAAACAAATATGGAAATGACAGATCACAGGAATCAAACTTTTGGTATAGGCAATTTAAAGCAATACAATAATACAAAAAATAAGACTAAAAATATTCATTTTAAAAACATTTAGCTACATCCATGAGAGCAGTGTGTAGCCCTAAGGAAGAACCATACTAACTGCTTCATGAAATTAAATTTCTGACCTTGACCTTATCAACTTGTATTTAATTTGTCTCCAGCTCCTCAGGATTTTAACCCTGACACGTCTCCAATCCATATTCTTCCGCCAATGTCCCAGTGAAAGCTTTCCGTAGGCTCTTACGCTAAGCCAACTGGCCACCACGGTTCCATTCCTACATACCCTTCTCATTGCCACTATTTCTAGCATAAATCTGATGGTCCCAACCACCACCTTGCTTTAACACTTCCATTAGTTACCCAAAGCTCAAATGTTTTCATGTGGCTATTCTTTTTTTCCTTCCCTCCTTCAAAATTCTTTTCCCCCCAAATGTGGAAATTGCCTTTTTTTTTTTTTTTTTGGTCCTGAGCTGGGCATCTGACTCTAGCCAGGCCAAAAACAGTCCATGCCAGAAATTTTGAGTCAGGACTGACAATCTGTTCATTTGTCTTTGAATGTCTGCAGCACACAGAAGTTCAGAAGCAGTCAGTGGCCACATTTTCTGCCACCTGAACTAGAAAAGGGGAGAGAAATCCAGTTATGAAAGAGAGAAAGAATGAAGATGTGCAGAGAAGCTTAAGCCCAGAGTTAGGAAACTGAGTGCCCAATCCCAGCTCTTCTTGGAGTCCAGCTGCATCCTTGTCCTTGGAGTCCCATAGGACGAGTCCGACCCTCTCAATAAATACCCCCTTAGGAGGCTGGTTCAAAGAAGTTTGATTCCTGTACCCAAGTCAGTCCTAATCCCCCCTCATATATGGCAACGTGGCAGCTCAACCACAGCCTCTCTTGATAGCCTCACTTCCCATTATTCTGACCAGCTAGCTCTTCATTCCCCTGTACTCACTCCCCTGCATCAAAGTCAAAGCATGACTCCATGCTCTGTGCTCATTGCCCTAAGTATTTATCTCCTTGATTACATTTACCATATTATGTTGTAGAATTCCCACTTGTTTATATATTATTTTGTAAGTTCTTCAAGGACATCGTCTTACTCATTTATGTAGCTCTCTGCCTAACACAACTGGAAAACACATGGTGGGCACTAGACAAATGTTTGATAAATCAGGTTATTCCAATTAATTAATTCTTGCCACACAGGCTCTAGCAAATTTGCCCTCAAAAGACTTAAACAATTTCTCCCAAATCGGAGGAGGAGATGAATCATGTATGGACTCTGAGAAACAAACTGAGGGTTCTAGAGGGGAGGGGGGTGGGGGGATGGGTTAGCCTGGTGATGGGTATTAAAGAGGGCATGTATTGAATGGAGCACTGGGTGTTATATGCAAACAATGAATCATGGAACACTACATCGAAAACTAATGATGTAATGTATGATGATTAATATAACATAATAATAAAAATAAAATAAAAAAACTAATGATGTAATGTATGGTGATTAACATAATAAAATAAAAAAGACTTAACCAACTTATTATCTTAATGTCTGATTAAGAAAGCAGTCTTTCATGAATAATGTAATTTTGTGTTTGAGCAGAAGAGTAACTAACATGTGAAATAAATGGATGGGGTAAAGCAGTATCAACTTCTGGGGCCCAAACTCCAATCCACACTCCTAAAGGGCCCGAATCAGCAACATGAAGGTAGAAATTGCGATCTTAGACCTGCAACATAATTCCTTCTCTTTATTGTCATACATTTTATAATTATTCATCTTGTTAAACTGTTTTACCTCTAAATCTGGAGATGTCAACCACTCTTACAGTATTTCTGTTTGCCCTGAAGTACTCTTAAACAAGCTGATTACTCAGCCACACAAATGAAAAATCTACCCTTATCATTTAATTTTAATATTTAGGTTTTTTTCCGAAAAGCTCTTTAACCCCAAATGTATTTTAAATAGATTTGTTTGTTTGTTTCTAACATATTATACATTACCTGGAAGGCAGAGGGGAAAAAAGATGTTTTTGTTTTACCCTGTAATCATCCTAGTAACCAAAGGGAATGAAACACAATTTCTTTATGGCAAAGCTGGTTTATTGAACTTCATAAGGGAAATGTTACAATGACACTATTCCACAATGAAATTATTTAACTTTAGATTTCATGAGGAAACATATTAGCAATATACTGTCAATGAAGCATTGTCATTAATAGCTAACTATTAGATTCTGGATTAGCTTCCTTTGGTTGTTCTCAAATTAAGACTTTCCCAAAAGATACCTGATGTTTTCAATTAAGGATCACAATTAAAATAAATTCACACAGGAGTTACAAAATGTGTGACTTGTGCTTTAAAAATTTATAATTGTTTGATAGCCATCATTCTGGAAGTGATTTCTCAACAAGGAAGTGTTTTATAAATATTCTCGAAAATATCTAAAACCTTTATCCCCATTCAACTGATAAGTATGCTTTTTTAAAAAATAAAAACATGTAGAAAAAAATTAAAACAGTAAATCATTACAAATGAGATACAAAGATTTTAAAATTAATAAATATTAAAGTGAAAAAATAAGTTCTTTCACAGAACTGTAAAGGATACCTACATTATGTTCTTATAAAAAGAAACAGTTAAATTATTTCTTTAACCATTATTAACAGCACTTAAAAACATAAATGTGCTTGGAAGGTTTGTAAACTTTCTTCCCACACTTTAGAAAATGTTTTAAAAGCAACAAACAGATTCCCTTCTTTAAAAAACTGTTACACCCACCACAATTAGCACAGTTGTCATTGTTTTACTACAAAAATAGTTACAAATCAACAATTTAAATTCAAACCATTTTTAATTCTAGCATGATAGGAAAATTGGATTAATCTCCGTAAACACAGATAAAGCCAACTTGTTTTTCCTTAAGCTCTAATATTTATAACTGAATAATTATTTCCTATAATTACTTCTTTCAGTTCATTTAATAGCATTACCTTGTTTTTATAATTAAATTGTCCAATTAGGATCACCATGATGATTAAACAAAACTCCTAAACTAGATTAGATTACATATCTGATTTCCTACATTCTGAAAATATTATAAGTATAATCATCTTTTGGCTTAATTACCTCTAAAATTAGGAATGACACCAATCTATCAGAATTAGTGAATGTGCACCCTTCAGTGAAAGTTCATGGCTTACGTTCCATTCATGTAATAGCTTTGTATACAAGCTTACTATTTTCTATGTGCAAAGTCTTAAATTCAAAATAAACATACTTAGGGTAAGAAACTTCTTGAACTATTCTTTACACCACTGAGGGAGATAGACAAGGTATTTCTCAATATCTACTTTATTTTTCATAATGAGGAGGAATAGCTTGTTGTGACCATAAAATTTAAAGATTTTAAAAACTGATACACTGTAACACAATACTATTACAGAAATATATGTAGACTCCTAGGAATTAGAGGTACACCTTCAGAGCTACAATCCAAATAGAAGTTGATTTGTTAATTCAACCTTTAGTCATTAAATTGATTGACTGTGGGGGACAGCAAGAGGTACTATGCCAGATACACAGCTTGAAATTACTAAAAGCTAAGAGAACAGGTCTCCTGTGGTAGCCAGGAACCACATTTACCTATTTTCCCCCAAGTTACAATTCCTCCAATGCTTTCAGTTGGTTTTTCACTAAAGATATCAAAATAAAATATAAAGCACCTTATTATGTCACTTCATTTACATTAAAGTCAGACTTGCTTTTGCATATTCTAATAGAATTTAGTAAGAAAACAAATTATTTTTCTAAAAATAACAATGACTTCTGTAGATCTGATATACTGATTAGAAATATCAAGCATCTGGGATCACTGGAAGTCATTCTTTATGCGCTGAGAACCAGAAAATATTCTATGCCTTCTCCCCACACTGGAACTAAATACAGTCTTGGCTCTCAAATGTACCCATAATAATGCAATTAAATACATCAATAATACAAAGACAGAACTCCAGGGAGAGGCAAATACCAGTTTTGTCCTATTGAGAACACTTCCCATTCAAAGGACATACCTAGTAAGTATGTCCTAAACCCTTAATTTTTTTTTCAATCCCAGAACACAGGATTGAACAGTCATTTACTCCTAAAATACCATCGTGCTCTCACCTGAGGCCTCCTTCACTGGGCTCTCAATGGGAAGATGTTCTAATTCATCCTACCTTTACTTCATTTTTAACCTCATGTGAAAACCAACTTTTGCCCTGTGTTGTCACAATGACAGATGTAACTAAGTAGATACAAAATACAAAAATTAGCATGACAATGATAAATAGTAAAATGTCAGGATGATCCATTATATTTGAGATTAAATCTTATGACTTATCACTGTCACACTTCAAAAGCATTTCTTTAGTCAAAATTAGATAGTATAATAAAGACTGTTATTTAGCACCAGCATGTCATTGCAGGCTTTGGTTCAGGCTTCAGAATAATTCCGTTATCAGGGGGTTGACTAAGCATTAATGGTTTGTGGCTCTTAAGTTTATGAGCCAAGGTCATAAATATAGCTTCCACGTGGTCATTATCATTGGGGTTTTTCGCAGAGGTTTCAAACAAAGGCATACTGTGGGTGTCAGCAAATTTCTGCGCCAAGTCTGTAGGTACTTGAAGGGCACTTCTCAAGTCACATTTATTTCCAACTAGAATCCGTGGTATGTCACTGGCTAGCAAATGTTGTTTGCATTCTTCTATCCAAGATGGCAGGCTATGAAAACTAGCCATGTTAGTCATATCATACACGAAGACAACGGCATGGACATTTCTGTAATAATGCTGTACCATGCTCTTTCTAAATCGTTCTTGTCCTGCTGTGTCCCATAACTGGATCTGAAAATGAAAAGAGAAAACTGAAAATTTCATTCCAATTATACATATTGAAAATTTTAATCAACCCCGCATGGTCTTTAGTACTTCTTCACTTAAATTACTTTGTTCTTGTCCATAATGCCTTTGCAGTGTAATTTATGAGATCCAGACTTCATGATACTATAGTTACCTCATAATTAATACTAGTGTCAGAACAAATATTTCAACTCAGCACTTAAATTTCAGTAAGTCAAATTTGTTTGGATGAAATTACACCTCAAAAACTGATTTTAGGGATGCCTGGGGGCTCAGTCAGTTGGGTGTCTGCCTTTGGCTTGGGTCATGATCCCAGGGTCCTGGGATCGAGCCCCACATTGGGCTCCTTGCTCAGCAGGTCGCCTGCTTCTCCCTCTGCCTGCCGCTTCCCCTGCTCTTGCTCTCTCTCTCTCTCTGAAAAATAAATAAATGAAATCTTAAAAAAAAACCAACTGATTTTAAAATATTAAATTGCGGGCGCCTGGGTGGCTCAGTTGGTTGGGTGACTGCCTTCAGCTCGGGTCGCGGTCCTGGAGTCCTGGGATCGAGTCCCGCATCGGGCTCCCTGCTCAGCAGGGAGTCTGCTTCTCCCTCTGATCCTCCTCCTCTCGTGCTGTCTCCCATTCTCTCTCTCAGATAAATAAATTGAAAAATCTTAAAAATAAAATAAAATAAAATATTAAATTGACACGCCTGGGTGGCTCAGTCAATTAAGTGTCTGCCTTCCGCTCCGGTCATGGTCCCAGGGTCCTAGGATTGAGCCCCACATCGGGCTCCCTGCTCAGCAGGGAGCCTGCTTCTCCCTCTCCCACTCCCCCTGCTTGTGTTCCCTCTCTCGCTGTCTCTCTGTCAAATAAATAAATATAATCTTTAAATAAATAAAATAAGTAAAAATGTATCAGGTTTTAACATACATGTTAAGTATCTAATTGCTTTTTTTTTCCTTTAAGATACTATTTATTTAGGGGCACCTGTGTGGCTCAGTCGTTTAAGCGCCTGCCTTCTGCCCCACCCTGCTCTCATGCTCTCTCTCTCTCTCTCAAATAACTAAGAGAGAGAGAGAGTGCACACAAGCAAGGGGAGTGGCAGGCAGAGGGAGAGGGAGAAGCAGGCTCCGCACTGAGCAAGGAGCCCAACGCGGGGCTCGATCCCAGCACCCTGGGATCATGACCTGAGCTGAACTGAGCCACCCAAGCACCCCCAATTAAGTGTCTAATTCCTGTAAACTTAATTACTATATGCCCTTCTCTACCTTCCACTAGACTAACTTAAAATAGTAGACTTAAGACAGATGTTAGGAGTCATTAGGTCTAATCCCCAAACATATACATATATATATATATATACACATTCTATGAAATCTATGAAATCCCCCTTGAAAATCTTAAAAGGCTAGAAAAATCACTTATTTAACCTAAACATCTCTACCAACAGGACTATTCCAATATCTCCTAACTGAAATATGGGGGGGGGGCGTTGAGGAAAATAATATCTAAAGGTAAATATAAGTCATGTGTTACGATTCTCTTAGAACACTGAATTCCCCTGCCTTTGTTTACTTCCTAAAAAAGTTAAGTGATAAGGGTGGAAAGATTAGAGGTAGATGCTTAGATAACTTTTGACCTAAAGACTTGTACTATTTATATAAATTCAGGCTATGGACTGGAAGCCTCAACTGGTGATTTTTCACAGAATGACACAGAAGTAGAGGGAAATGAGAGGATCCTGTAGAGGGCCCATAAAAGTAAGTAGGATAGGGCGCCTGGGTGACGCAGTTGGTTAAGCGACTGCCTTCGGCTCAGGTCATGATCCTGGAGTCCCGGGATCGAGTCCCGCATGGGGCTCCCTGCTCAGCAGGGGGTCTGCTTCTCCCTCTGCCCTCTTCCCTCTCGTGCTGTCTCTCATTCTCTCTCTCTCAAATAAATAAATAAAATCTTTAAAAAAAAAAAATTTAAAAAGTAAGTAGGATATAAGATATAAAGTGCTCAGAATATGGCAGCACATGGTAATTACTCAATTAAGATGTAATAAATGAATAAATACATTTTTAAAAATGTGATTAGAGATGAAAATATTGATCACCAATCTCTTCCGTGGTACCTGAATTAAAAAAAAAAAAAGTTTTTTAGTAATCTCTACACCCAATGCGGGCCTTGCACTCATAACCCCAAGATCAAGAGTTGCATGCTCTTCTGACTGAGCCAGCCAGGCACCCCCATGCTACCTTAAATTTTATCAGCTCTGATTTTTTTTTTTCTTGGTAGTTCTTTTTAAGACCAAATTTCTCCATTTTCTTAATATTCTGCCTTTCTTTCTAATTAACATAAACCAGATTCTGCTCCAGACAGAGAATATAAAATACTATACAAACTTGATCTCTCAGGCTCTCCTGGAAATAAGGGAGGCCAAATGACATAGTTCTAGCCAATAATTGGTAGACAGTCTTTCAGTGGGGTTTTCTGGGGAAACTATGGATATGTGATTTTAAAAAAGATAGAGCATTTGGCACATGCCTTTTACACCTCTCTCACCCTACTCTTTCTGCCTGGAATGGGATATAATGACTGGAGGTTCAGCAACCATCTCATGAGCATGAAGAAGGCCACACACAAGAATGGCAGAAGTCTACATAAACCTGGAATTCTCCTGACAGGGTACCATCACACAGACTGCTGCCTCTGGTCTCCTTATAACATGAGAAAAATAAAACCTCACACCACATATAAAAACTTATTCAAAATGGATAAAAAAAACTAAATTTAAGAGCTGAAACTATAAAATTCTTAGAAGAAAACATAGGGATAAATATTTGTGATCACTGGGTTAGACAATGGTTTCTAAGATATGATATTTAAAGCATAAGCAATCAAAGAAAAAATAGATAAACTGGACTTCATCAAAATTAAAAATGTTTGTGTTTCAAAGAATATTATCAAGAAAGTAAAAGTCAGCTCACAGAATGGGAGAAAATACCTGTGAATAATAGCTGATGGGGGTGTACCATCCAGAATATTTAAGACCTCTTATAACTCAATAATAAAAGGACAAATAAACCAATTTAAAAACTGGCAAAGAATCTGAATAGACATTTCTCCAAAGAAAATATACAAATGGTCAATAAGCACATGACAAGAGGCTAAACATCATTAGCCATCAAGGAAATGCAAATCAAAAACAAATGAAATAGGGCGCCTGGGTGGCTCAGTTGGTTAAGTGACTGCTTTCGGCTCAGGTCATGATCCTGGAGTCCCGGGATCGAGTCCTGCATCGGGCTCCCTGCTCGGCAGGGAGCCTGCTTCTGCCTCTGACCCTCCCCCCTCTCATGTGCTCTCTCTTTCTCATTCTCTCTGTCTCAAATAAATAAATAAAATCTTTAAAAAACAAAACAAAACAAAAAAAACAAATGAAATACCCACTCACACCAGGATGGCCATTAAAAAAACAATAAAGATGGACAGTAACAAGGGCTGGTGGAGATGTAGAAAAATTGGAATCTTCATACATTGCTGGTGGGGATGTAAAATAGTGCAGCCACTTTAGAAAACAGTTTGGCAGTTTCTCAAAAAGTTAATCAGACTATGACTTACCCACAAAAAGGAATAAAGTACTGATACATGCTACAACAAAGATGAACCTCCAAAATACACTAAATGAAAGAGGCCAGACATATATTCTATGGTTCTATTTATATAAAGTATCCAAAATACAGAAATCCATAGAGATAGAACACAGATTTGGTGGTTGCCAGGGCTGGGGGATGGGGAGACTGTTGAATGGGGGAGGGGCTTTACTTTGGCGTGACTGAAATATTTTAAAACTGGACAGAGGTATGGTTATACAACATTATGAATCTACTGAATGCCACTGAATTGTTTACTTTAAAATAGTTAATCTTATGTTATCTGAATTTCACTTCCATAAATTATTTAAAAAAGAAAAACAAACAGAGTTGCTACATTAACCAGTAATTCCACTCCCAGGTATGTACCTGACAGAACCGAAAAGATGTTCACACAAAAACTTGTACCCAAATGTTCATAGCAGCAGTATTCGTAATAGCTAAAAGGTAGAAACCAGGGGCACCTGGGTGGCTCAGTTGGTTAAGCGACTGCCTTCAGCTCAGGTCATGATCCTGGAGTCCCTGGATCGAGTCCCGCATTGGGTGCCCTGCTCAGCGGGGAGTCCGCTTCTCCCTCTGAACCTCCCCCTCTCATGCTCTCTGTCTCATTCTTTCTCTCTCAAATAAATAAATAAAATCATTAAAAATAAATAAATAAAAATAAATAAATAAATTTTAAAAAAAGGTAGAAAGCACCCAAATATCCATCAACTGATGAAGGAAGAAGCAAAATGTATGTCCATATAATATTGTTCAGCCATAAAAAGGAATGAAGTACTGATACATGACACAACATGGATGAATCTAGAAACATGATCTTAAGTGCAGGAAGCCAGACACCACAGGCCACATATTGTAAGATTCTGTCTGTGAAATGTCCAAGATAGGCAAATCCAGAGACAGAAAGTAGACAGTGCCTGCCAGGGTTGAGGGAAGGGAAGGAATGGGGAATGACTGTTAAAATGGGCATGGGGTTTCTTTTCGGAGCTCTGGAATCAGAGAGTGATGAGAGTGAATATACTAAACCTTGTGAATATACTAAAACCCACTAAATTGTATATTTTAAAAGGGTAAATCTTTTTTTTTTTTTTTAAAGATTTTATTTATTTATTTGAGAGAGACACAGCGAGAGAGGGAACACAAGCAGGGGGAGTGGGAGAGGGAGAAGCAGGCTTCCTGCCGAGCAGGGAGCCCGATGTGGGGCTCGATCCCAGGACCCTGGGATCATGACCCGAGCCGAAGGCAGATGCTTAAGGACTGAGCCACCCAGGCACCCCTAAAAGGGTAAATCTTATGGTATATGAATTATATCTGTTTTTTAGAGTGACCCCAAAAAAGAAAGAAAAAAAACCCAACCCCACTCCAA